TGCTATCTCGGGTGAAAGCTAGAGGAGAGATTAGTGAAGGACAAAGAACTCAACTTTCTTCATTTGGCATCTACTGTAAAAGTGCTGAGCATGTCTATTTCTAGTCCTTGGAAAGCTACCCATCATCATGTGAAAGCTGTATTTTGCAGTTCAGCTTGCTTGGATTGCACTGTTTTTCAGAGAGACTCAAAAGACGGGGTAGACCGAGTCCTTACCCAATATCCATGGTTCTGGAATGGTCAAAGCCAAGCTTATTAGAAGGAGTGATGATGTTAAGATACAATACTTCTACACGAGTTGCTTCCCTCTCCATTCTCATGACAACCACTTAATTTTGGAGTCACATACAGGCTGGAGGCTGCTTTGCAAATGACATTGGCCATTACTGTTCCAGAAGCATGTATATGGGACTTATTTCCCATGGAGTTCTATTATGGTAATCCCATCTAAGTCCAAACTTCCACCCCACTAGGGTTCCTCATGTCATGGAGTTTACTTCCCCCCAAAACAAGTTATCTCTCTGAATAGCCATGATCCAGTTATACCTAACATTCTGACATTATAGCCACCAAATATATACTTCAATTGATCTCTCAACCTTTGGGGTAAGAGAAAGTATTTGTCACAGGCCACAATACCTAAATTTTATCTTCATTTTTTTATCCTATTTGCAACTCTTTTGCCTAAGGCAATTAGCCTTACTGTGGTGATTTAGACTGATGCCTAGTGGAATCTATCTTGGCAGCTCATAGGATGTGGAAAAAAAAAAATACACCCTTCAACTTCCAACAGTCTTTCTTTCCCCAGCTTTAATCCATAATTTAATATATCCATTCAGAAGTTTTCATCCATCAAACAACACTATTTTGTTTTCATGAAACATTTTATTGGTTTCTTATGTATTTTCATCATTAAATGCACTTGGGTTATAATTCAACTCTTTGTTCAAAAACTGGCTTTTCATATTGTCATTAATAATTCATAAGCTCCATAGAATTACTTTAGGCCTTTTAACCAAGTATCTTGAATCTTAACATATCCAGTGTCATTTTCGCTTCTAATTTAGAAAAAAAAAATGATTGTGACAGGCCTTGCTGTCTCAGGAGACCTTGAATAAGAATTTTATTCCTGTTTCTTGTTTCTTTTAAAGTTCAGGATGGTTTAAAAACCTAGAGTGTAGAAAATGCTGCATATCACAAGTAACAAAATCATGCCAGTTACATGACCTAACAGACTAAAAAGTACCGGTAAAGGTCAGAGAAAGAAAGTTTCCATCAAAGTTCATCACAGAAATCTTCTAAGTGTTGTTCTCAAAGTCCCAGAGGCACCCAGGGAGGCCCCCCAGTCAGTTACTAAACCGAATGCATGCTTCTCCCTAGATTATTAGGAAACCATAGTGAATTCAAAGGTCTCTTACTGGGATCAGACCCACCAGGTTTGCCTGGCTGAACTGGATGTAGAAACATGCCCTGGTACTTTTAGAATCTTGACATTTACTCCCCAGAGAAGCCACACTTAGAAATTTGAGGAGTGAACTAAATCTGGAAATAATGAAAATTTGGTATGTATTTTTCAGAGCTGTAATTCAAGTAGATAGTTGGGGTTGAATTTCTTTCTTCCTCTTTTTCCTTCATTCTTCTGTTTTTTCCTTTCTCTTTTACGTTGAAAAGAGACCTGGTTTTTTTGGAGGGGAGGAAAAGACTTTTCTCTGGATTGTTTCTTTCCTCTCAATATCAATTTTCTCCTAAGTTCCATTGGGATCTGTACTCATAAAATAAAGCAGCTTGTACGATCTGCTTCATTAAAGTCAAGTTGAATCTGATTCTTTTAGAATGGTAGGGTGTGTGTTGAAGCACTAGAATATCTCAAAGAAATGAGGCCATTTTCTTTACAAATTCATGTTTTCCTAAGATGAGGGGTTATTGAAAGAATAATTTTCAGTCCCTCTGATGTATATAAAACTGCTACACAGAACAATTAGGAATTTTTGAGGAATAAGAGGAACAAAAGAGGACTTTGCTCATCCAAGGCTAGAATTTTTTAATCAACTGAAAATCAGTCTCTATATTTGAGAGCAGCTGATTCCACTGGAAATGTATTAATGCAGAGGCTGATTGTCACATTTCACAACTGTGTTTTACTTGCGTTTGTAATTGTGATGTGGCAACTACTGTCTGCTCTTTTACATCAAGAAATTTTTAATCATGTCGACTCTCTGACCTGGAGAAATGGCACCCCAAAGCACAGAGTAAAGACCCTTGACTGCTTCAGTGCGGGGCTTCTCCGACCTCATTAGTGCGTGTGTGAATCAACATGTGGATTTCTTTTTTAAACTTCAGATTCTAATTCAGTCTATCAGGGGTGGGCCCTAGAGTCTGCATTTCTAACAAGCTCCAGGCGATACTCATGCTGCTGGGCCACAGACCACACTTCAAAAAGCGAGACTTTAGAATATGTTTATGTAAAAATTCCAAGTTGAAGCACTCTGAAATTGGAGGGGGAGGGTAGAATCAAGGGTGTTAGCGTGTCTAAGGACAGGCCATTGATTAAATCCCGGGTCAGGAAGGTCCCCTGGAGAAGAGCATGGCGACCCACTCCAGTATTCTTGCCTAGAGAATCCCATGGACAGAGGAGCCTGGTGGGCTACAGTCCATAGGTCGCAAAGAATCAGACACGATGGAAGTGACTTAACACAACACGACAACAGCAAGGACAGGCCAGTGATTAAATCTGTACCTTCATAAAACACAAAACAAGTTGTGTGTTACGTAAGTGTCAAGTTCTAACACTCTTTTAGTAGCAAACAAATGGACAGCTTAAACTTGAATTCCTTGAGAATGGAGATTATATTTTACTGAGTTCTAGTCCAGTGGTGTCCAGCCTTTCTGGCACCAGGGACCGGTTTCATGGAAGACAAAATCTTTCCACAGACTTGAGCAGGGGCTGGTTTCAGGATGATTCAAGCACATTATATTTACTGTGTACTTTTTTCCTGTTATGATTACACCAGCTCAACCTCAGATCATCAGGCATTGGATACTGGAGGTTGGGGACACCTGTTCTTAGTCTTCATATTCCTGGAGCCTAGCAAATGCCCAGGAATCTATGGATGGCCAATTAGTGAGCTGAACTGAATTGAATCAAATTGAATTGATTGAATTTCATGAGAACTGTATAAGAATGACCTGCTTTTGTGTATTTAAAACCACTAGTTTTATATTTGTATTGCTTTTATATACAGATTTAATACTCTGTCAGTAATTTATAATTGACCAATATTCATACTTGTTTTCCTTTTAAAAGTATACCCTTAAAATGCAATGTGAAAAAATAAATATAAATCAAAGGTAGTGAAGATTGAAGAAGACAAAACCCTGGTATGCCCAGGAGTATTAAACAAAATTCTATCTCCAGTAAAATGACTTTGACAATCATTTCTTATTTAAAAATTTTATTCTGGAGGTAAGAAAGTAGGCATTCCTGGGGTGTTTAGGCAGATTCAAACCTGTTCTTCCCATTTCTGAAAGAGTGTACTTTAATATTGTCTTCAGTAAATTATACAGATATCAAAATGTTACAGTTAGTATGTTTACATCCTAGAAGGACTTCAGAAAATCACTGTATCAATTTCAGTCTACATGAACAAACTTGAATGCTATTTTTTATTATTTCCTTTCAATATTTGATTTTGCTTCGTGTATTTTTAATAGCTTTATTGAGATATAATTCACATACCCTACAGTTAACTCATTAAAAATCCACAGTTGGCTTTTACTATATTCACAGAGTTGTGTATATATTGCCACAAAACAATTTTAGAACATTTTCATTACTCCAAAAAGTCCTGTACTCCTTAGCCATCACTTCCTAATTCCTTTATCCCCTAATTTTTCTTCTGTCTCTGAGCAACTACTAACTTACTTTCTGTCTCTATAAATTTGCCTCTTCTGGACATTCATATAAATGGAGCCGTACGATGTGTGGTCTCTTGTGACTGACTCACTTAGTATACTGTTTCAAGGCTGATCCATGTTGTAGCATGTTATCAATACTTTGTTCCTTTTTATGACTGTATAATATATTTCCTTTAGAGAAGGAAATGGCAACCCACTCCAGTATTCTTGCCTGGAGAATCCCATGAACAGGGGAGCCTTGTTTGCTGCCGTCCATGGGGTTAGATAGAGTTGGACACGACTGAGCGACTGAACAACAATATTTCCTTTTGTTTATTTATTTGTTGATGGGCATCTAGGTTATTTCCATTCAGTTGTTAATAATGCTGCTATAAACATTCATGTACAAGTTTTTGTGTGAAAGTATATTTTGATTTGTCTTGTATATATACCTAAGAGTGGAATTGCCAAATCGTATGTTAACTCTGTGTTTATTAACCTTTTGACCTGTCACACTCTTTTCCAAAGCGGCTGCAATGCTTTACATTCCCATCAGCAATGTATGCGGATTCCAGTTTCTCTGCATCCTCCCCAATCCTGTTATTATCTTTTTGATCATAGCTGTCTTAGTGGTATCTCAGTGTGGTTTTGACTTGCATTTCCCTGATTACTTATCATGTTGAGTGTCTATTCACATGCTTATTGACCATTTATATTTTTTTTCTTTTTTGGGAAATATCTAGCAGATTCATTGCCCATTTCTTAGTTGGGTTGTCTTTTTATTATTGAGTCATCAGAGGTCTTTATATTATCTAGATACCAATTCCTAATTGGATAACATGATGAGAAAAATATTTTTCCCATTCTGTGGGTTTTCTTTTTACTTGATAGTGCCCTTTGAAACACAAAAGTCTTCAAATATGATGAAACCCAATTTACTTTTTCTTTTGTTGATTGTGTTTTGATACTGATCCAAGAAACCAAGGCCAGTTGAAAGGTAATGAAGGGTTTACTCCTAAGAATTTTATAGTTTTCTAGCTGTCACATTTTGGTCTTTGATCCATTTTTAGTTAATTTTTGTATATGATTTCCTTTTATTTTTTTAAGTGCTGTGATCTTGGCTACCATGCAAGTCTAAACAGAGCCCTGAGAACGTATCTCTCTGCGGAGTATAACCTTGAAACCTCCAGACACGAGGGCTTAGACATTATTGAGAATGCAGTTGACAATTTGGAGCCCAGGAGTGATAAGCAGAGATTCATGGAGATGTACCCTGCTGCGTTCTGCCCACCAATGAAGTTTGAGTTTCAGTCTCACATGGGTGATGAGGTCAGTATTTGAGTATAATTGAAAAATAATGAATTGTCTCTAAACTTACATTACTCTTCCCCTGCTGTACCCAGCAATTTAAGAATTCTCAGTTGATTTCTCACTCCTGCCTTTGCATGGGATTTTAGCATAACACTCTGTGATCAGCCACTATCACTTTTTAAAGCAAGGGTCAAACTCTCCAATGCCTCCAGAGGCCAAAGAGATGGAGGTGCAAACTGGCTTGCTTACAGGAAACTGTTGAAGGATAATTAATGAGTTCTCCCTTTCCCTCAAGATATTCAAATATAAGTTTAAAACAAAACATTTTGTTGGCCTAATAGAAGCCATCTGAAGACTTCTTATAATCCTGATTTAAAGATCCCCATAAAGAAAAATAATTACAAATGGCGGAAAATGAGAGAGAGGAATAAAGATACAAAACATTTTTTTAAGACTCAAGTTATCTCCAGACTGTTAAAATGAGCATTAGAAACGATGTATTATCTTAGGTTCTTCATATGAATTTAGCTTTGTCTTATTCTGTGCAAGGAGAGAATCCATTTAAACCATTTATGAGTTACAGTGGTATATTTATTATCTGTGAACAGGAGGAAACAAGAAAAACCAATTATTGAAGCATGCTATATAGCACTCAGTGTCCCAGCTGTGCAAAACAATACTCATAGATTAAAAACTCAATTTTAGCTTATTGTGGTGACAGTATGTTTTTAAAAATAGATGTTAATTATAATTTCCATGGCAGATTTCTTCTTTAATGCCATAATTTCTTTGGAACACCTAATGTTAAAATTTAAAAGATATGTGTGTATGTACCTGATATATTTCTAACCTAATTTTATTTTTGCTTGATTTGATAGAGTGAATTACTTGATTAAAAGTGGTAAGCAGTTTTTATGCCAGTAGCACATGAATTTTACGGGCAAGTGGCTTATCCCACCCAGAGTTTTGTTTCTAAAAACAGTTGGTTACTCTTTTAATCTTTTGGTTATGGACAGATATGTTAAACACAGAATGATAAAATGTCACAGACAAGTGATTTCAGTTGGGTTCAAAGTTATTACTTTTTTATTTTAATATAGTAAACCTCTTGCCCTTTTTTAGGGCCATTCTGCCTGTGAGCAATAGGGTCTATGATGTGTCTTAGAGACTCCATAAAAGGAAACCCTCATCTGCCAAGACCATTTCTGTGACCAGAAAGATGAGAAGAAATTGTTTGTTTCTAATCTGATTCTATTATAATTAAAAGTCTCTATTTTTTTTACCCTAATTGAGATTGTGGCCAAAATATCTTTCTCCCAAAGCCTAAGACTGGTGACTTTTTCAGTTTAATGATTTGGCTGATAATTGGCAAGAAAAGCCATGGATGAAAGATACAGAAAATAGCACTTTTTCTGAGTTTTCAGTGTGTGCCAAGCAGTGCTATAAGTGCTTCATGAACATCATCCCATTTTCATCCCCACCACGACCCGATGGCACAGGTACTCTTACTGCCCCCATTTTACAGACTAGGAAACTGAGGTTTCCTAACTTACCACAGTCACCCAGCCGACTCTAATTGGTAGGCTCTGCCACCTGCCCTACTTTGCCTGCATGACCATAGGTTTGGATCATCCTCCACACTCTGCCAGGCACTTATTCCACAAGATAGGTGTCAGCATCAGAACTCCGTCCCCAGCAACTGCCCCATTCTTCAAGGGAGGCTTCCTACAGCTGCTCTATTCCCAGTCTTATCCAGGCCAAGCAGCCGCATCCCACTCTCACCACTTACGTAGCAAGTTCATATTTAACACTGGAGTGTCGAGGTGGCTGTTGAAAGTAAAATATGTCATTGGACTCTTGAAGGGATCCACGACTCTTGCAGCCTTTTCGTGGGAGAGCCGTGCCTCCGGAGCCTGGCTGCAGCGCGCCCTGTCCTAACTGCTCTCTGGCCCCCAATAGGTGTGCCAGGTCAGCGCCCAGCAGCCAGTCCAAGCGGAGCTCATGCTAAGGTACCAACAGCTGCAGTCCCGCCTGGCCACGCTCAAGATCGAGAACGAGGAGGTAAGCATGCTTTCTGCCCCATGAGTAACCTAATTCTAATGTAAACTGGGAGACGTTTTCACTTGACCTGGGCATTGAACGGTGTAACTGCAATCTCTTCATCATGCATTTTCAGCTAAAACAGGGTTCCTAAAATACCCCTTATAGACGATAAATGCAAAGGTTCTGCATTCCACCATCAAAGTATTAGTCACTCAGTTATGTCCAACTCTGTGTGACCCCATAGACTGTAGCCCACCAGGCTCTTCTGTCCATGGGATTTCCCAGGCAGGAATACTAGAGTGGGTTACCATTTCCTTCTCCAGGGGATCTTCCTGACCCAGGAATCAAACCGGGTCTCCTGCATTGCAGGCTAGCTCTTTAGCACCTGAGCCACCGGGAAGATAATAGGTGACTCCTTTACCAGGGACTCGCTACATCCACAGAACACACCTTGTATTCTTAAATACTGAAGGTGGTCCCCAAGAGATTATCAAATCCGACATATGTTCAAGAATCTACATGAATATGTGGAAAGAAATGCCTGATGTATTAATTTAATCCTAATTTTTAAATTAGTACTTTTTTATGCTTTTTTTGTATCATTAGATTTTTGATACTGAACATGGCATTACTGATAACAATTAGTACAAAGTAGTATTTTAAAACAGTGCTTGTGGTATAACAGTTATCCTCCAATTAAAAATAAAAGTTAAAAAAGTAGTACTTGAATGGGAGTAAAAACTGTTTATTTGCTGACATTAATGGACTTAAATGGATAGAACATAAAATGTGAATTATAAATACATGTTGAACCAGAAAGAAGGCATACAATTCAGCTGCCTGTTTCTGAAATTAATTGAATTAAATCCACATTCTCCTTAAATAAAAATCGGAACCAAAATGTTTCTTGTGTCAATCAAGGTACTCACTTGTAACTTCAGTTCAGTTCAGCTCAGTCGCTCAGTCGTGTCCGACTCTGCGACCCCATGAATCGCAGCACGTGAGACCTCCCTGTCCATCACCAACTCCCAGAGCTTACTCAAACTCGTGTCCACTGAGTCGGTGATGCCATCCGACCATCTCATCCTCTGTCGTCCCCTTCTCCTCCTGCCCTCAGTCTTTCCCAGCATCAGGGTCTTTTCCAATGAGTCAACTCTTCACATGAGGTGGCCAAAGTATTGGAGTTTCAGCTTCAGCATCAGTCCTTCCAATGAACACCCAGGACTGATCTCCTTTAGGATGGACTGCTTGGATCTCCTTGCAGTCCAAGGGACTCTCAAGAGTCTTCTCCAACACCACAGTTCAAAAGCATCAATTCTTCCACACTCAGCTTTTTTCACAGTCCAACTCTCACACTCATACATGTCCACTGGAAAAACCATAGCCTTGACTAGAAGGACCTTTGTTGGCAAAGTATTGTCTCTGCTTTTTAATATGCTGTCTAGGTTGGTCATAACTTTCCTTCCAAGGAGTAAGCGTCTTTTAATTTCATGGCTGCAATCACCATCTGTAGTGATTTTGGAGCCCAAAAAAATAAAGTCTGACACTGTTTCCACTGTTTCCCCATCTATTT